TGTTTCATCCTGGCAGTCGCACAGCGGGCAGTCGGGTGGGGTATCCTTGCGGATCCTATTAAGGTAGGAATTTAGTGGTATGTGTTGTGTAGCACAGTTGGACAAAAATATGCTCTGTCTATTTTCTGTCTGCTTTCTGTGTCTGTAGAGAAGGCACCAGAAGTCGAGCACAGTCTTTTATGTCTGTAAAGAAAACCACTGTGATTTAGCAGAATTGAACAATAAACGTTCCGTCTGTCTATTTTCTATGTCTGTGTCTATGGAGAAGACCCCTGAGGTCTGAGCAGAGCTGAATAAATCTTTCAATATGCCGTCTATGTTCTGTGTCTGTGCCTGTGCAGAAGGCGCTTTTAGTCGAGCACAATTGAACAAAGTGGACGATTGGCGGGTGCTCTGGTGTGGTTTGCTCCTTCTTTCCTATCAAACATCCATCGTCCTTATCTCCCTTCCTTCTATTTTGTGTTTGTTACTCTCTTGTAACACCTTTAATCTTCTGCACTTATCTGACCTCATTTTGTTGCAAGTGCCGTAAAACTCTTACTGAACTAAATTGAACAAATGCTCTGTCTGTTTGTCTTTTTTGTCTGTATAGAACACCCCTTTGTTTTAGCAGAATTGAACAAATGCTCCGTCTGTCTATTTTCTATGTCTGAGGAAAAGGGCCCAGAGGTCTGAGCAGAGGTGAATAAATCTTTTAAGGCCCTGTCTGCCTGATATATATGTCTGTGGAGACGACCCCTGGTAGTGGAGAAGAGTTCATTAAATGCTCTGTCTGTCTCTGTTGTATGTCTGACCCCCCCCCCCCCCCCCCCCCCCAGGGCAGTGCTACTGAATGCAATGTCTTTAGACCATTCCCAAAGGAGGATATTGACATGTGTTTATGCACAGAAGAATAGTAAATGGGCTGATTTATCAATGCCATGCTCAAACTGTTCCGGAAGAAGATAGGGGGAACTGCAGCTTTTTCTTTCCTCATCCTTACTATCGTCATTTTTCCTCTTCTTCTTTTGTATGTTTGTTACTCTCTTCTGAACTGCTATTTCCGGGGTGCCTTGATAGTCAAAGCAGACTTTGTGCTGTTGTGGCTAGAGAGGTGAGCAGAGTAAGCCTGATTCCACGTTTGGACTTCTCTGTTGACATCCACCCTTTGGCGCTCATATGACCGTGCGCAGTACTAGTTGCAAGCGCCGTAAATAAAACCTTACTAAAACAATATTTTTTTTATTTTTGTGTCTATTCAAATGCCACTGAAGGCGAGGCAGTTGCAAGCGCCGTAAAACCTTACTAAAAATAATATGTCTGATTTCTGTGTCTGTGTAGAAGGCCACTGTAGTCGTGCAGAAAGATGCCGGCCTTGCGGTCCCGAAGCGTGGCAAATCCGGCGTCCGACAGTTGAGATTCCGGCGGGAACGGGCCAGGGCCACCTGTGTGCGGGTTCTCTGTTGCCTGATGTTTGTCTGCAGTGTGGCTGTGGTCATCGTCAGCGCTGTGGGACTGTTGCAACATCTGCGGCTCTTCCCACGGCTAGGTAAGGGCAGAGAGCTCTTTGGTAAGGGGGTGAGTT